GGGTTGCAGATTTCCTTGCTAGTCAGTCCCTTTTATATTCTTTATAGATACCATTCTTACTCGTGCTATCCTGCTTAAGGTATACTGTATTGAGGAGGGCCTGTAGACCTTTTTCACCTTTGGTTGGAAGGACAAAGTCAGTAATACACCTCTGGCTTTGAATAATTATGTGCTTCCTCTTCACCTGACCATAACTGACTTTTGAGAAAAGAAATACATCTTCTTTCTGAAATTCTACACCTTAGTTTTTAGGCTTGCTTTTGTCAATCCAGCAGTTTAAGTCAGCTTATGGTCACTTAGTCCAAAATTGTTTATTCTCTTGAAACCAGTGGATCTGCAAGATCATCACTAAGCATCTCTGTATCTTCTTTGTTTCACAAAGTGCTCGGTAAGGAAATCTGTGTTCTGCCTTGGCTAGAAATACCAAGCTTTGCTGTTATTGGTGTTTAGTTTTTCTCTGGGAAATAAAATCCTTGTTACTCCCACAAATTCTGTAATAACAGAGATGCTATTCACAGCCAAGCCTAATTTGTAGCTGTACTTCCAAGGTAGCCTTTCTAAACATCCTGCTGTGTGGTAATCTTCAGGCAGGCAGTAACTTTTTTTTTTCTATGCTGTCACCACTTTTTCCATGCTCCTTCCATTTTGGTCTTCGCAGGCACTAACTTAAGTAGCATATGATGCCATTTGAACATAAGTATTTTTATTTCTTATACTTCCCAGTTGCATTCCATCACCTGCCGTTTGTTCCTGCAATGTTAGGTTCCCTGCCCTGGAGCAGGAGTTTCAGCGCTGCCATGCGTCAGCATACACATTCTCCTGTTGTTTTCTTTATAGCCTGGTAGGGGTCCTAGCCAGGCCACCTCTATTTGGTGTACTGGCTCTATCTTCTCCCTTATTTCAGGGGAATGTTGTTTTTTTTTTTCTTTTCCATTGCTGAAGGCACGCTTGCCATGTTCCTATTCCTCTTTCTACCTATTTCTAGCTGTATCTGTTTGTATCAGGTGCAAGGGACTGTTTCCCACCACCCTGCCTGATTGCTCTGGCACGAGATGTGTCTCACTAGTCAAGAAACCCAAATCCTAAAAGATTGTTTCCTGTAGGTTAGTGGAGTCCAATTCTTGAGCAAATCTTGTCCATTAGTGCCTCCCTCGCCTGCATATCCTGAAATCACAGCAGTTTCAGCCGCACTGACTGCTGAATAGCGCCATGTCTTCATCTTCCCTCTGTAGGGACTGGCAGACTCTTGGTGAAGATCACCTCAACCTCTTGAGTCTTTCCCAGCTGGGCACAGTTCCCCTCCACCACCTCTTTTCCAGCATGAATGGTCTACAAACTTATGCCCAACGCTTGTTCTGTCCTTTCTCCTGCTCCCACCGGGCTCCTCTTCAAGCTTAGATTTGGGCCTTGGCCCTGTCCCTGAGGTCGTAGGAGCGGGTCTGTGCTGCCATAGTGCCTCTCGGCACTCAGCACGTCCCCGATGATGGGCTGCCAAGGAAGCTTCTTCCCCAGTTTGAGGGGCTGGTGCAAAAGGGGTTAGCAGCCAGGCTGCGTAGGAAGCAGCCAGGCTGTGTGGGAAGCAGCCCTGCTGAAGGGTTTTTTAGGTAAGCCTTGTCTTTCGCGGTTTTCTGCTTTGCTCTGAAGTTGCAGATGGTCTTCCGTGGAGGCATAAGATCTTCCCTCTTCTGTCCTTCTCACAAGAGTCCACGTGTCCAAATGAATCCGCAGGGAAGTGGGGACAGAAAAGGTCCCGCTGGGAGCAGAGATCCTCGAGCTCCACGGCACAGGCAGCCCTGAGGGATTCACAGTGTTCCTGGGAACTGGAACAGCATCCCGGAGACTCAGTTGGATCTTACGGAAACATAATTAAGAAGTTGAGTTTTGACACTGCAGCGTACGATGTAGCTTCGTTAGATAGGATAATGGTATTAATTAGTTCAGAATTAGCGTTGCATTCATTTAGGGCATGATGATGAAGCACTAGTGCTTACAAAACATGCTGCTTTATACCACAAAATCTGGTGCCAAGCGCTAATATTTTTGCAATCAGAGCAATGTGCCGCATTATGTCAGCGTTTTGTAGTGCCAAGTCTTAAAAGGCAAATGAGTCCTTGCATTTCAGAAGCAGCTCTACTCCCTAAGCTAGGAAGCTGGTAACCTGTTAGAAAGGAAAATGATAATAAATTGATTTGCATAATGAAAATGCCTCAAAAGTGCTGTACATAAAAGTTGCTGTACATTTTATATGTATATATAGGTTTCCTGTAGTTAACTTTCCTATTTAAAAAGGATTGAGATATTAGGAGTTCTGGTGTCTTTATTTTCAATTTTTAAAATTCAGATGATATTTTTGAATATTCAGCAGATTCTCCCTGGGATCGTCAGCTCCCAGCTCATTCCCTGCCAGCAATATCTTGTGACCCAAATACCATTTTTTGCCTTCTATTTTCCACAACTCAATTCAAACGTAGTGCCTATTTTTCCTCTATGGTACTTACATTCTTCACAAAGTTTAGCTTTAGCAGCCTATAGAGAGTTACAAATTTGCTGTATTACTATGGTAAAATCTAAGTAGGATTCCATTTTATTTATACAACGCTTCTTGGTGTTTTCTGCTCTACTCTGATAATTAAGTCTTCCTGCCCCAGCGGACGTTATTTTTGTCACTGTTTAGCTCTGTCATGGAAAGCAGCTCTTAATTGTACAGCACCTCTCTCTAGGTATTTGTCATTACAGTAGCCTGTGTTACTTGTGCTTGGCTTCACCATGTTCAACCCAGGCTCTCCAGCCTCCTGGACACCATATAAATAAAGGTTAAAGGAAACAAAATTACCGACAGCAGGCTTAGACAAGAGTGATGCACACTTTTGGGGCCCTTTTTAGGGGTTTAAGGGTTCATAATAAAAGGGAACTTTGTTAATTGGGGCCTAATGACTTTCTTGTGCGCCTTCCCTCTGTAAGGGTTTTTCACAGCAGAGACCAACTCATAAACTAGATTTCAGTGCTAAGAGTCCAGTATGGTCTGTGGTTTCACTTAAACGGTACCATATTTAAGCAGCGTCCAAAATCCACTAAAAGCACTGTGAGGCTTTCCAGCGACTAATGGCTTTTTGCAAAAACTAGCTGATAGTCACCAGGCTTGTGTTGCCCATCTCAGTGACGCGCATATTTTTGCCCAACGTGCCAATGCTCAGGTACTCGTTCTGCTATTCCTTTATGACTGGGTCCAGCACGGCAGGAGCGGAGCATGTCGTCTTGAAAACCTGCATGATACGGCTTTTAAAAAGGCTTGCTTGAATACCACCATCACTTTTATGTAAGAGCAAACTATGGCTGACTACTCTGTTTTGTGTTTTAGCCAGCAAGACCAAAAAACAGATATTTGTCAGCTACAATCTTCAAAACACAGACAGCAATTTCACCTTACTCATAGAAAACAGGATCAAAGAAGAAATGATGGCTTTTCCAGAGAAGTTCTGACATTGTAAAATAACCTGAGTTTTTGTTTTAGAAAAACTGGTTGCAATTTTCACATTGACATTAAGTTAGTATATTTGTTTTGTATTGTTTTGATTGAATTTGCAATTGTTATTAAATATAGCCGGACCTAAATACAGTTGGACCTGGATTTTTTTTTTCAAATTTGCTACCCTGTTAAGTAGGGGATAGGCGAGTAGAGTAGAAAATACACTGCAATGTGAGAATATAATCGTAAAAGCGCGTGCAGTGTCTCGCCTGCATGCAGTATGGGGATCTGCTGGGAAATCAGTTCCAAATTCTACCTGTACAATTAATCTACTATGGAGTGGTATTGAACATAGTATTGCAGCTTTTAGTGTTCAAATAATGAAAAAAACCCCATTTTTTTTGTATTGAAAAGCTGTAACACAAAATGAGCATGACCTTGCTCTATCTTCTTAGCCCCTGTTGGTTGTAGTACTAGCACTAAAGACTGGATTTCCTTCCATCTCTCGGGCGCTGAGAACTCTGGAAGGGTTTCAACAAAGGGTTTTCTGTATGTCCCCAAGGGCTATGTAGAAGGAAGAAAAGCACAGCTTGAATTTTGGAGCAATAGATAAATCTGTCAGGCTGCTAGAAGAGCATCATGGGTGTAAACTGACCATACTCATTAGAAAAATCAGAGCAGTCACCACCACCACCGCAAAGCACCCTGCTGCTACGTCTCTTGACTGGCTTTTAGCTAGGATGGATATCCTTTCAAAGGCAGATCCATGGGGTATTTTGTTCAACGAGAAGGGCAGCTAAAAGTTATCTATACAAAAAGCCCCAAACCAACCAGAGAGCCAATGGCGCGGTGACCGTTTGCAGCTGTCGGTACGTGCTGTGCTACGGCACACCACCTATTATTCACAGCAATTTGGAGGAACACTGAGCGTAGCAACCTGATGAGCGAGTCCAGGTTATTTCTTCGGCACTGCAAGTTGAACCCTGACTCAGACATAAGCTTCTGACACAGGTAAACAATACTAGTGCTGCTGCTAGATAACTGTCCTAGCAACCTACAGAAAACTGATGAACTTACCTTGCTGTGGCGGCACAACCAGCAATTAAAAACTGTAACCGAGAGGTTGCTGATGTAGAAGGCATAACCCCTGATGAGTCTCTTGCCCTAAGGGGTTTGAACACCCAGTGGCTTCCATGTTGCAGGTTTGACGTGGGCGCAGAGGGCCCTTCCTTACGTGGTGGGAACAGCTGCCGGTCCTTGGCTGCAGTTCAAGATCAGAATAGCAAAAAGCAGCTGTCGGAGGGTATTTTCTTTTTAATTTACACCACCCAGGAAACCGAGTCAACTGTTCTTCTGTGACTGAATGTAAAAGGCAATTAGTTGCAAATCAATGCGCCGATTTAATTAGTCTGATTTAAAAATCAGCTCATTCTGTGTGTAGAGAAGGGTAGGGCTGTTGGCTGAGGTGTCACGTTAGCTGCTGCCGGACTGTTTCAGAAGTCGCTGTGAGGGAGCCAGACCAAGGAGAGCAAACTGATGGGACAACGTCATTTTATTCTGTACATTTACATACAAAGTTCTTTTCAGTAGGTACAACAGATGTAACATCATGCAGACATTTAGCTTGTAAGACTGTTTTCAGTACTTGATTTAAGCTTGTGCTATGAGGAAGCACCACCAGACTATTCATGATCAAAACGTACAGTAACACGATTCTTTAAAACTTCATCAGAAGCTGAAATGGGGAGGGAGGTCTCACCCACTAGACATAACACACCATACTCCTTTCCTGAAACATTTTACACAATACATTTAAAATGAGGTTTGTCATTTTATTTTTCTTCAAAAAAACCCCAAAAAACCCCAGAAGAGAGTTACAGCAGGGGAGATCATCCCCCCACTTAATAGTGTTGTCTTATGTGCCAGCTACAGGCGCAACTTGACTTGACATTCACAGAGTTCAGTTAATGGCACTTCTGCTTCCAATTTGGTGACCTTTAGTGTTTGGCTCCAGGAAGTGGCAACAGTTAAGTAAAATACTTCCAAAAAAACCCTTCAAAAAAAAAAAAAAAAAAAAAAGCCTGCTCAACAAACCCAAAAAGTAAATCACACAACCCCCTTTCTGAGTGGCCACAAAACACTTGCAAACAGGCAACTGTCGTTATCCCTTTGCAGTGTGTCTGGCAACAAAAGCAGTACTGAAACCTTAAAAGGGGACAAAACCCCCCAAGATCAAGCATAATGTCACATTCACATTTTTGTTTAAACTTACAAAGATGGAAGAAAGCCCTTAAATGGTAAACCCAAAGAAAAATCCACTGATGGTCTTAGAGGTTACTGAAGGTTCACAGAAAAAGGCCAAAATGGACAGGACAGCTTTGACCGCTTCCCCTGTTGCGGTGGCCAGAAAGAGCCGCCTGAGAAAAGCCTTTCCTGGCGATGGCTGCGGAGGAGAGGCGTCCGAGGAGCCGATGGTGCGGCAGACTGGGACCCCAGCAGAGAGCCCTGTCCTGCCGCAGGACTAGGCAGAGCAGAGTAAGCATCTCCGCGTTTCCTTTCTGCCCTGCTGCATCACCTGGTACCCGACTCCTCCACACAAGATAGGCTTAGCAAAAGCTTTCCAACTCTGTGAGCGTGTGTGGAAAAAAATAATCATCACAGAGGTGTTCATCTTTTCAGGAAAAGGAGCAAAACTGGAGCTGCCAAAGCAGGAAATTAGTTTGTGTTTTATTGTCATGACAGAGGCAGAGGGCCAGACCAACTTAAGAAGCTGGGGATCCCCACGTTGCAGAAGATCAGTACCGACTACCTGGTTTCAGGCAAAAAACCCAAAAAAGCAGCAAATCAAGACAATTCCGTAAGACTTTTAAAAAAAAATCGCCGCTTGTTCCTGTCACCTAGTTTGTTTACTATATAAATGTTGATATGTTTAAACAACCATTCTCTTCCCTGGGCCCGTCTGTCATCAGAAAGCAACCACCAGAATAGGAAACGATAAAGTGCTGTGGACAACAGCGGCGAGCACAGCAGGACCGCTGACAGTGCCGGAAGCAGCCGGTTTGATAGGCTTGTGGACGGTCTACAAGAGCCATACCGTAGCTTGAGCACACACGCACAGAGACCACGAACGAAGGAGCCGCTGACTCCATGGCGTGATGGATGGCAGGACGCTGCTCTCCGCCTCTGCGCTCGCCCCTGCTCCCCCGCTTTCAGGCCCTTTTCCATGAAGGCTTGTTTTGCTTCTTCAATTTTTTGTTGTGAACCCGCTTCCCCCCCCAATGTGTGTGGCTTGCAACAAGCATCTCATATCAAAGGCAAAAGTTATTGCACAAATTTGGCACGTGAATACTGCATGAATGGGGAAGGCCTGGTTTTTTTTTTCCTTAGGTGAACACAGACTGCGGAAGTCTCAGCGCAGAACAAAAAGAGAAGCAGCCGTGCTCAAGCTCGACAATAAAACTTGAGTGTAAGGAAGATTGGGCTCTTGCTGTCACAGCAAGTCTAGCAAAGGTGAAAAAACCCAGTAGTGTAACTTTGGGCAAAACTACCATCAACTGGTCCAGTGTTTCTTACCAGGCTCAAGAAGAACCTGAATGTCCGCATCCTCTGTACAAAAATTAGCAGCTTTAGGACAACGTTGTTACTCTGAACGCAACAATCTCTGTCGTTTCTGCAGGTCTACCTGTCCCCTTGCACGCGTCAGTGTCTGAGGCCGCGCTACTTACTGCATTGCCTGCTGGGAAGCACGTATCTCTGATTTATTTGGGCCTGTAAGAGGACATCGGCAGCCTAATAGAGGATGGAAATTGTTAGGTACAGTAGTTAATCGACAATATATACAGCAAAGGAGGGAGGGAAGGTAGAAGAGGAAAGATACAGCAAAGGGGGAGGGAAGGTAGAGGAGGAAAGTGCAAATGAGCGCTTTCCATGCGTACGAACGCAAGATGTACATCAAACAAAGTGGCAATCATATGGACACTCAATACAACATCAACATCCTGCTGCTCTGGTTGTTTGAACGTCTGCACTACTGAGCAATCACAAATGGATGGCCTGAGAAAGGAGAAGAGGGAGGGAGAGCAGGGAGGTTAACTACAATGCAAGAAAGCTGTTTGTTTACAAAGTTCTTGCATTGAACTAGATCCTCACGATATTCACAGTGAGAACCAGAAGCTGATGGCCAAAGGAAATGGTTTGGGGGCTGGAGGAGAGAAGTCAGGCGGCCACTATCAAAGTGCCATCTGCACAGTAAGAGACAAACTGGGTGTTCGCTTTGCTTAGCCTAGAGTAGGATCCATCCAATTTAAGTAAACTTTTTTTTTTTCTGAATGGAAGTCCTACGAGAGCAGCTGGGGAAGGGGGGAAATCTGGGTGAGTTCACTGTATATGCTTGGGTCAGAACCAGAAAACATCTCTAAAAGCCCCAGGACAGCCAACTGTAAGTCATTATTCACAGGCTATCAATTCATTCCTTTCCGACAGTCACTTAAGCATTTTGTCCACTTAAATTGAAAACAAAAACCCTGGTTCTAAAAACAGGTAAAGCAGTGCCAGGGCACTCACTTCCCAGGAGCGGGAATCCCAGCCGCGCTGCCTTTTGGAATAAAAGTAGAGATCGTAGCCCACGCTCCTTACTTTTTGTCCCTGCTGGTCTATGCTCTTCTCCTGGAGCAGTCAATCAAGAGATTCTGGGCCGCCTGGTAATTAAAGCCATTCTTGGAAAAACTAATTTTTGCATCATTGGTCAAATCACTTACATCATCTATATTACTATTAAAGACCAGCGGGAACCGTCTAAAATAGATTAATGGACTCTTAAAATGCAGAAGGCTGATTCTCGTTGAAAAATCAGCTTGGTTAGGTAGGATTTTCTTCACTGCATTCGGTGAAAAAAACCCCAGTACTAATTTAGAAAGTAACTTTTAAGTGCGCATGGGCTACAAAAACAAACATAAGCTTCCTAAAATGCAGTCAGAGTCACAACAGGTTTTTCTTTTTTTTTTTTCTTTTTTTTTTTGGTGTATACAAACACAGCAGGCAACCTGGGCGCTTGGACTTTCTAGACAGGCACAAGAATTTTGCACAAGTCTAAATTTCAGTCAATTCAACTTTGCAGTGGATCCCTCTTTCCTTTAAAGAAACACAAAAACAAAACAGAAAACAACCCCCCCACGGTTTCTTTCTTGGAATGGCTGCACCTCTTATTATAAGATGGCTTCATTTTTGTGATCTATGAAAGGAAAAGGAAATAAAGTGCTTCTTGAGAATAAATCAAAATAAATATATGTATTTAATGGCAGGAAAAAAAGAGTTCTGAAGGGCTCCCTCCGGCCAGGTCTTTTCCCAGATGAGTCTTTTCCCCCATAACTTTTTCAAGAGCAATCTGCACAACAGTTGAAGATGCCAAAAGTTGCTTTAGCAGCAGAGTTGAATTCCCCCAAGTCTGTGTCTGCTCCATCACTGGTTTGTAAAATCTGTGCAAACACCTTTGCCCAAAGTGCTGCTCCTCCTGCACAACAGCATCAAATAAAATACGAAAGAAAGAGGAGAAGGGAAAAAAAAAACACCCAACCAAAAAAAAAGAAGGAAAAAAAAATCCACCCGGTTACATCGACTTCATCCCGTTGGCAGTGGTGTTCTCTGAGATCCCGTCGCTCACAGCTGCCGAATCGTGGAGGCCGGAGTAATCCTTGAGTTCAGAGTTTGTCAGGAGCAGGGGCTGCTCCCCCTTCTTGTGCGGCAGGAGGGGCTGCCGGGTGTAATGTTCCCCGTCCGGGATGTTTTCGGGCAGGTTCTGGTTCTTGCTCTCCGGCAGCAGCAGGATGCAGATGATGCAGATGAGCGTACAGCAGGCGAAGATGACGTGGTGGAGGAAGTAGCCTTTCTGGTTGTGGAGCTCCATGATGGGGGCGGTCAGGCGGCCGAAGCCCGCACTGGCCAGGACCAGCCCCAGCCCGCCTCCCCTGCAAACACAGCAGAGTGAGAGCCCGGCCCCACAGCCCGCTCCTGCCAGCGCAGCCCCATCGGCACTGGGGTTGGGGAGCCCACAGCCCTGACGGGTCCCCCAGACCACCTCCCTGCCTGGCACGCACCCGGGCGTCCGAAATCTCTAAGGCAAACCTAGTTTGTTCACAGCTTTCATACTGCACAGTTACTCCAGTAGGGAGTTGCTTTGCTGTTGTAGATCATTGCTGCCTGTTTGCCTCAGTGTGGGGAAACAACTATACTCACTTAAGTATCTTTTCACACCCATATAACTGCCCCCACATAAGAAGAGGAGGAGCTTTATCACCTGAGTGTGTAGACAGCCCTCTATAAAGTACTCCCATTTCCAAGTATTCCCATATTCAGTGAGGGAGAACCAGATTTTGCTTAGCACGCCTGCCTTCTCCAGCTTAGACAAGACACACCAAGAAGCAGTAGGTGCAGAAGTCAGTTTTGGCTGCCTCTACAGTATCTGGCATCAATCAGCAGTGGAGGGCAGGAGATTAGACTTTACAGGCCACTGCCTCGATCCATTATACCAAACGCTGAGTGCTGAAATATTTCCTCCATAAAAACATGTTGTGGCTGGAACTTCTCAACACACTGATGTTGTAATAAAATGCATAATTTTCAGAAAAAGAAGATAGCATAGCTAGTGGTCAGAATAGGAGAACAAGAGTTTGGGATTCATTTCCAAGACCTCCTCTTAATTCACTGTACAAGCTGAGGTAGGTCCCTCACTTCACTCTTTCTTGCTCTTCTCGTGTATTCTTGTATCACAGAAAGGTTACGAAAAGGTTAGCATTGCTGAAATGCTTAAATTATAAACAGGTAACTTTATAAAATATTCTTTATGACAGAAATGCTTATTTATTAAATGCAGTGTGCTTGTGTCTTGAGATCATACATGCAGCACACCAAAAACCAGTGAAAACACATTACAGCTTAAAAAAAAAAAAACAAAAAAGTGTGAAAATAACCTCATCTTCCTCCAGTCGCAAGCATGGAAGTCGCTTGTGCAAGCCAAATTCAGTGCTCTCTCCTGATGCTTGGCTATGCAAGCAACCTCTCTTGCAATTCCTCGTCTTGCTCATCGACGCCTCTCCAGGTCCTGGCGCAGGCAGGCCTGGCACACCTCCGGCCACATGCACACGCCCACCTCGTTTTGAGGCACAGCTCGTGCTCCCGGGGCCTGTCCCTGCTGGGTGACCCGCACAGAAGCGACACCACAGGCGTTTCTCTGGGGCAGACCATTCCCTCCTCCTGCTGCGGCATGACCGAGGTCTCCGGCCAGCGGAGCGTCACCCTCAAGTGACTCGTTTTAGCAAAATCTCTGAGAGTGGCAGCTTGTCCTTCATTTTCCAAAGACCCTGCTGCCTGCAGAGGGAGGTCTCCCCGTGAGCTTAAATCGCTGGCACCCTGCTCCCCACTCCCCCACCAAGCTCGGCTGGGCAGCACGCTTTCTGCGGGTCCTCTGGGAGATGCCATCTATTCCCAAACCCTCTGGTGATCAGATGGGCTCAGGTGCTTCAGTTCCTGGCCCAATGTCAGAGATGTAATTATTAACGATAACCGGACCTTAAAGAAGACAACTGCAGAAGGCCAATGAACTGCTTTACATCAACTACTTGGAAAAAAAGTTTCATCGACTACTGAGCATACTAGAAATCACAGCACGATAAACCTACAAAATGCCAAATTCACTCAGCCAACCACCGTGTTAAAGCTAATCTTCACCCAATCCTTTCCGAAATCCACTGCTGCTTACTTGACAGCTGAAGGGCAGCAAGCACAGATTTCAAAAGATGCTCTTGGGACACTGACTGGATCAAAAATTCACATCTGTACCTTCTAATTCTCCAGACTCGGCAGAGCATCCTTCACAGACAACAGTGATTTCCCCAAAACTTGCCAGTTTTCCGGTGGCAATTTAGAAACCCAGCTGAATGCGGCCATTGTGCAGCTGGCCTCCCTGCAACTTCATTAATACACTCACATGAGCAATCGACACAACCAGCCCCGAATGCATGGCAAATCACTCTCCAAGCTGGCTCCGGAGCAACAGAAGCCCGGCTCATTTACATCAGTGTTTGCTACAGCTAAATTGTATCTCAACCCCCGAGAAGGACCTGAGGTGAGTTTTAAAAGCCACTGTAGAAGGACATCAAGCAAGCTGAAAGGAAACAGGAAAAGGCAACAACAAAGACGGCTCTGTCATTACGGGTCAAGCGGCTTCAGATTTGGAGGGGGAAAAAGAAGTTTTTCCATATGACGTCAGTAATTAGAGCCGGCGTTACTTTATCCAGCGCCATCAAATCCTGGCAGAAGGCGGCTTGAAAATACATTTTGGTATGCGTCCTAGAAGATTTTTTTAAATGTTTGACTATACTGCAAATATGAAAAAAAACCCAAACCAAAACCAAACTGAAAATACCGTCAGGCATTTTCTGTTGTTCACGTGCACATCAGGAAAACGGGTACAGGACAAGAGAGGCAGCACCCTCATACTTCACACTGTCTTTGTAGGCGTCATGGGGCAGCAGGTGGAAACCAAAAACATTCAGGGTGTTTTGGGGCACCACTCCTCAGTACGAGGTCTCCCACGGCAGGGGGCCAGCGTCTGTACTTCAAACGCGCTCCGAGGTGCAGAGCGGAGCCAAGGGAGGGAGTGCGAGGGCTGCTGGCATCCACGACGAGCCCCAGCTTCTCCCCTTGCACCTCCGCCTGGGAGGCTTTCCCACAGCACAGCCCCACGGGTGATCAGAGCCGCTTCCCCGACCCCTGCTCGCCCAGCGGCAGCAAGGCTGGATGGTTTGCGTGAGACTTACCGTCCTGACATGGTCCAAAATTTTGTCCTCAGAAAGGGCCTCCCTGTTCACGGGGGAGAATTTCCTCGCTCGCTACCGCAGTCTTTTTTCAGAGAGCAGCAAAACATCCTCACTGATACTCTTTGCTCAAACCAGGCTAAACCTAAGAAAGGGGACTTGCCCTTCTCAGCACTGCTCAGGGGAGCAGAGAAATGTTAATCCTATCTTCGGATGGCCATTTGTCTGTCTCGAGCAAACGGGTCGACACACAGCATGGCTCAGAGTACAAAAGAGCCAGAGAGCTACTCGGGCTGGAGGAGACTTTGGGAGAGCACCTACTCCAGCCTCCTGCACAAAGTGGGGCCAACACTGAATTCAGACCAGCCACTCAGCCAGCTCAGCCACTTCTTGAAGTCAGTCCCTGAAAACCTCCACGGTTTTTCCCTGCCTTTCCTGTGTGTAAGCAACCCTGTTGTGCACTCAGCCCCAGGACAGAGCTTCAGTAACGCACCAGGACGCCCTTGGCCTCATGGGGCAAGGCACCACCTTTGAAAAGCCAGGCCTGGTTCAGGTCCCCGTAAACAGCACTGTACCCCACTGGAAATTTGGCTTGAGACAGCTATTGATGGGTAAAGCTCCTAATTTGGCCATCACTGCCCACTCTTCATTTCTTTGGCTGGGTGGGCACAAAAGCAGGACACAGAGAGAAAAAAATAGATCTCTCTTCCACTTGGTAGTAACCGAGCATGCAGAGGATGGGGAGAGGACACACCATGCTTTCCTCAGCCTATTTCTATTTAGTAGCTGTTCAGACTGCAGTGGTGCGCCTGTCAAGATTATTAGAGATGGATTATCGGCGCCACTTAGTGCTTAAATTCAGCATTTGGAAGGAGCTCTGTACTGAAGCCCCCAGTACAAGGAAGGGGAGTTCCTGGTGAAGCCCTCCTACCTAGCGCCAGGAGACCGGGGTGCAGTGCAAGGGTACGAAGGACCCTCTGTGCCATGTGACAGCGTGGGACCTTTGTGTTTCTGCAGCAGGCGGCACCTCTTGGGGATGAAGAAGGCTGTTTTCCTCCTACACTGCTGTAACCGTTCATCTCAACACCACAGCAGTAGAGCTGGACGGGTGCTACGGCTTCTCTTTCATGCCACTGCTACCCCGATAACAGCAGTGCTGTTTTTGTCCCTCAGGGATGGGGGATTACAGGTAAAGGATCTGATCAGGGAAACCCCAGAGATGGCCCCAGCGCTCTCTCTGCCTCCCTTTTCCTTAAGGTTCCTCGAGATTCAACCAAAAGCATATTAAGATGGTCTGAAACAGTAAAGGGCATCTGAGGCAGTATTGTGGAGAACAGGTTATGAAGGAGCAGCCAGATCCCACCGAAACACAAGACACAAGGCAACTTAACCACACCTCTGCCTGAGACAGGTTTACACACCGTCCTAAACTCCACCTCCTAATTACAGCCCTGAGTGGATCTTATCAAGAGCTTCACGGTGGTAGGACCGCAAAGCGCTGCAGAGCGTCATCATCCCTATTAATAAATAGGGACCCTGAGGCACATCCAGCTATTGTCACTCGCCTGGCGTCAGCCAGCAGAGTCAGGGGAAGCAGAATTTTGGCTCCCAGCCAGGATTTTGTCCTCTTCCCTGTAGCAACGTAAGTGATTTAAGGAAAAAAGCTTGCTAAGTTCACACTGCACATCTGACCCTACTTGGCAGATTCTCTTCTGGTTGATGTGGCCAATTCCTTATCTATATGTCTTCCAAACAGAGACAAGGAGAAAATTAAAGAGACATAAAAACACCAAACTGACTGACATGCACATAAGTAAATAGCTGTTAGTGTTTTGGGCTGCTATATAATCTCCTCACCACTCACACTGCCTTTCCCTGTGGAAATAACGTTATCTGTAAAATACATTCACAAGTCAGATAGCTTGGAAGAAAAGGCCACAGATCAAGGAGGCTCTGGCCACTCAGCTGACAGTTTTGCTATAATACTTGTGCAGCGTTATTGAAAAGGCTTATAGTTTGTAGAAAAAAAGAAAAAAAGAATATCCTCTTCCCTCCACCCTCCCTCCCACCCATATGACCGACATTCCTGGGAAATTCAATGGAGTCAGGGCGGACTCCTGAATTGCTGTGGCATTGCTGAAAGCATAATCCAGAACACAAAAGCACAACCTTTGTGCTGTGGAAGATAACAGTGAATACATAAAATGGTACAAAAACCTGACTACACAAAGACATTTTATGGGAAGCTCTCCAGCGAAGATCATCTGCCTGATTTCTACTATTGCCCAGGATGAAAGCGATCCTCTTTAGAAAAACTTTCAGCCTCTGCTAAGATAGATCTGGGTGCAAAGAGAAAGATGACTTTCTCCGCAATAACGGCGGGCCACTCCCACTGGTGCTGCTGTAGGAGAGGCAGACTTGCAGAGCACCTATACGCACTAAAAGCATTTAACACCACACGTTGCAACACCTCCTTTCCACCGAAGCACCCCTACAGCTGGCTTGATTAACCTGCTCTGTGGAGGCAGGGATTGCCTGCACCTATGTCCTCCTCTGCACCCTCGTGGAATTTTTCTTTTAATATCAAGCTGTAGACTCACACGGTCACTGCTTGTACAAATCCAGCAGAGTAAGCGAAGCGATAACCATGTTCTACTGCACTATCTGGTTCAGCTAAGTATTTAAGACCATACCGCACTGCAAACAAATGCAATTCATATGATGCCTGGCCTGCTGATAGTCACCACGATGGGACACAAGGTGGAGCCATCGGAAACAAAGCCCCTCTGTCTACAGACAGGCATTTACTTAGGCAGACTGACTGCAGCGACATTAAATTAAAGAGCGGCCCAAAAATTGCTGCGAGGTCTCCAATTATGGGGGATTTCCCTTCCCATACAATGGGCTAAGCTACACAGCCAGTTATCAATTAAATGAGGATAATTTCATCCCCATCCTTTGAAGAGGGGGGCTCCAATGTCTCACCTGATTACTGTGGGTGTGATTTCAGCACAGAAGAACACGCTGAGGCTTCCAACGGCATGCGAAGAAAACATACCCACGATGGAAAACGCAGTAGAGAATTTGTCTTTGACGCTGTCACTCATACCTGTCAGTGTGTTCATAAAAAGTGAGAATGAGGCCAAACTTCCAAGGAAGAAAACAAGAAAACAGGTTTATGTTACTCATTCTCCCTAGAGAAGATTGAGTCATTTTTGTAATAGTAATTTAAAACCGGTATTTATAAAATCCATTCCCCAAGCACCCGAGACACAAACATACGTGAAAAAAAAATCATAATGTCATGCCACAAATGGCAGCAATCTCCAAATTATTTATGCCCAGCCACCACAAAAAGGTAAAACCCAAGAAAAAACACATATTTGGGCAGTCTTTTAGGCACCAGCCACTTCCCTCCCACGTTTGACAGGCAGTGTTCATCAAGCTGCCAAACATCTGGTACAGCTCGGTGGCTTAGGCGCTGGAGAGGCTCGCAGGACAAGAGGGGAAAGAAATAAAAGTGCTTCCATCTCCGTGCTAAGCATGTGACTGATCCTGCACGTGATCAGTCTGCAAACTCTGTCATAACCCCCAGCTTGACAGCCTTTGCCTGACAACTCTGGGAGAGAAAAGCCAATGCCAAGGACGGTGAAGCACTCCCCTAAGTCACCGTGCCCAACAAGGCTGTTTGCTCAATCATTTCACGGCTGGAGGGCAGCAAGGTTTCTGGGAGCAGTGTCTATCAAGCACAGGGAGAAACCCCAGTAAATCTAAACAAAGATAAAGGAAACTGTCTCCTGGCCATGATGACAACACATCCCTGAGTTGATCCCTGCTCGCCACCTTCTGCGGGCAGGGGCGGGATATCTAATCCAGGGTTGTACAAGCTTATGCAGTCCGTCCTGGCCAGCAAGGAGGCCACGTTGTTCACAGAGACTATTGTGCCATACGAGGGGAACACATCATGCCTAACAGGAGCGCTGGGGAAGGGGCTGGAGCTTTGCAGCCAATGCCCCCCAGCTTCCTCCAGCCAAGTCCCAAGATCTGCCCAGAGAAAGGGCTGCTCATCCGCTTGCAGTCCCAAGCAGGTATATTTTCTGGGTTGGATTCAATGAAAAGTAACACCTGCTTTTGTTCTTGCTGACTATGTCAGCTCTCAGGAGAGAAAGGTATTTGGGAGCTCTTAGGTTACAACTTCTGAAACGTGCTACAGCCTGCTCAGGGCTAAGCCCTTTCTGCAATGCACCCCAAGTGTGGGGGAGAGAGCAAATACTGCCAGCAGATAAGGACATGAGTGCGGCACCTTGCAAACTACGGGTCTGTGAGGCTCCCTGGCAACTCTTGCATAGCGGGTGAGGCTGCACCACTGACCCCCCAGGGAGTCGTGACTGCTCAGCAGAACAGACCTTGGAAAAGCTGGGCAAGGACAGGTCCGTTAAATCAAATACAGAAGGGAAAATTTTGTTCCCCTGTACCCTGTCACTGCATTGCTATTATAGTACTTCAGGCTGGGATAAGGTGCCCAGGGAAGTATTTTCTAAGGTGCCTAAGTCCCCCTATCAGAAAGGACTTTGGCATCTCAGATCTTTCTGGAAAAAAACGACTGGGAATGTTGCTTCTGAGAAGGAGACTTTCTGAGAAAGCCTTGCCCCGTATCTAAAAATAAACCTTGGGGGACCTCTGCACCCTCTCTTGACATGCAGAGGCGAGTCAGACTATGTCGAGGGGATGCTACACCGAGAGACTGCATATAAACAAACAGGCCTGCCTATGAGCGGGGTCCCAAGGCACTGTGTAGAAGTGGGCTTTCCCTCTGCAACCCTCTGTGGTGGCAGCTCCACTCTGGGTGCTTTGGCCCTGGCCTTTCGGATCTACCCACTCCCAGAGGAACGCTTCCTGCATGACGCAGACTTGTCTGTAAACCATACCTGAGTCTGGAAGTTGACTGTATTTTCCGATCACTGGATCCAAGACCACAGAAGTCAGAGTAAAATAAAATTAAGAGAGAGAGGGAGAGAAAACAAGAACATACTGTTGTTACATATTTATCCATCCAAAGGAAAGGAAAAAAAAATGGTAAATCACCATAAATCACGCCACCCTAGCCCCCCATACACTTCTCCTTTCCCAAACCACCACTGGCACATCTTCCTGTGGCCACCAGATAGGAGACGCCATTTCCAGGCCCCTTTCAGCTGGAGGACAGCATGCTAATGAGACAGTGATAACAAACGCAGCAGTAAAGCATTTTTAAGAGCCCCAGAATTACCACTGGGATTAACACAAAGGCCTCTTTGTCATTAACGAAGGGGGAGAAGAGAAACCGCCCTCATGCTGCAGCCCCAAGGGAATGGCTAACAGAAGCTTTAGTTAGAGAGCAAAACTCTGGGCATCAGCATTGTCCCACTGGTGGGAGACCTATTGCTCGCCAAAACCCTGAGCTGGTGGTCCATGTGTCACGCTAGCCACCAGCTGCCATGCGTCCTAAACGTAAAGGAGCACACGACAGTACTGGGCAGCAAGGGAAGGGCAGCGGCACAAGCTGGGCGCAGCTCTGCTGGTCATCTCCCACTAGGCTCCTGTGACATCCCAAGTGACATCCCGAGGTCCGGAGGAAGGGCCGAACACAGCAAGCCTCAAGGTCTGCCGCAGGTTTGCTGCTGATGGAGAATGCTCCCATCCCTCTCTCACCCTCCTCCTCAAATTCTGATTTCGTTTGCTAATTACACCCAAATTATGCTAACCTAAAACACGCAGGAGGCTGTAACAGATTTCATAATCGGCAGGGTCACTGCTTCTCTCCAAACACTGTCTAACTCTTCTGAGGAAGAAGGGGGGCATGGTCTAGAGCAGGGGGAGACGAGCTGCTCTGAAGTTCAAGGCTGCCTTTCCCTCCTCACAAAGAAAAGGGCAAGGGCAGAGTGGGGAAGGCTGACGGGTGCATGGCACTGAGAGAAGTGTAGGTGCCAACGTAGCAGAACGCACCTAGAGCCCAAGGCTGCTCTTAGTTTTAGCAACTTTGCTCACAAAACCACCTAAACCCATTATGGAAAAGGTTGTAATGATTCCTACAGGGTGCTCCTCCCCACCTCCCTCACCCCTTTTTTGTTGTTGAAAAACTGCAACCAGATATTCATGGCTCTGGAACAGACTAATGGCTCTGGCACACTTTCTCTCCACTAAGCAATTGCATATTTACTACCTCAACAGCCTCAACAAACATCTGACATCCTTAAAAAAAAATATTAGATGAATCTAGTGTAGAGAGACCCTGATGGACACCACCACAAGAACATGGATTTTCGGGAGGTCGCACACACGCTCAGTGTGCATCTGCATGTGAATGGTCACAGTCTGTCAACAGGCTGGGGATGAGGTGGGGCCGGGGGCTTCTCCCGCTCTCAGTTGAGACTGCTGGACATGGTAAACGTGTGCTCAAAGGGCATGTAGACATCTGTGCCAGGCTGGGAGCAAACACACATGATTTTGGAGTTTCCCCCATGTCATGAAAGAGTTCCCTGTTTCCCTCCTACACTCCCACAAATAGCTTGTTCGCTAAAGGTTAACTTAGTAAACGCTTTCAGGAAACGCGGTCTGTAAATATGGACAATTCTTGCTGGCTCGGGGCTGCCTTCAGCATGCGGGAATGTGAAATCTTTCCATCCTCAATGCAAAAAACTCTTTCTCATTAAAGCCCTTAATTATTTCTAAACTTAGAAATGAAAACCAGCAACAACCAGTGTTCTGGTGTTTGTCTCGTATCCAGTTTGTCCAAAGCATGTCTCAACCCTCTTCCTCCTTCCTTGGGGTGAGGTTTCATGGGACAGGGGCTGAACAGTTGGCAACTGTGAGAGGGGCAAAGCACATCCCACCTTCGCTGTGTTTCAACACCTTTCTGATCCATCAAGTTCACCTTCCTCAACCAACAAAAAATTAAGACAAGGAAATAAAATAAAAAAAGGGAACTTTTCTGATCCATCAAGTTCACCTTCCTCAACCAACAAAAAATTAAGACAAGGAAATAAAAAAAGGGAGTATTTCCCTTTTTAGCAGTTTTAATAGCTGAAGCAGCTCAAAAGGGCCAGAGAAAGGTCACTGCCTGCGAACAAGGAGGTGGGACACTCTTGCTTTTAGCAGGAACAACCCATTTGAAAAGCTGTGTCGCCTCACAAAATCATGTGTATATGTTCACATCGTCTATACATACACACCATGTTAAAAGTAGAGTCTTTCAGCTGCATATTTCCATGTTAGCTGTGTATTACTTGCACATTGCAAGATGCTTAGAGCAGGCAGAGGACATATACCTACTGCTTTAACATCTGTTTGGTTTAGAGGCCATCTGAGAAGCAGACTCAAGTGGGAAAGTTTTCCCTTCCCAATCCCTACCCAGCTCTTTTCCCAGAGGCTATTTCACTGAAACAAAACTAAAAGCGTTTTTTGTTTGTTTGTTTTTAAGTGACAGTCTTAGAAGCAGCACCAATGCTCCATGAGCTTCACCATGGGGACTCATCCAGAACACAATGGCTTTTGTTAATGAACCTAAGACAACAAGTGTTTGGGGGATCCTTCAAACAAATTCAGCTTCTTAAACTAAGCAGGTGTACGGCATGTCAAATCTGAGAAAGGCAAAGGAAATGCTAATATTTCCTGGTCCCTTATTTGCATGTCAAACTTGTGTGGTCCTGAAAAGCTCTTGACTCCAACTTACAGTTGAGAAGGCCCAGCTGCAGAAGCGATGCCAGGGCTGTAAGGATCATGAAAAGCAGGAGTCCTCCTCTTCTCCCCAGAAACCCGACCACCGGGCACATGGCCAGGCAGGATGCCAGGGCAATCCCAGCCATGGTGTAGTAGTCCGCATAGAAGTTGTGGGTAATTGCCATCTTCGCTTCGTGCCCCATCATGCTTTTTGCAAAACAGTGGTGTATGCCGTAACCAGTCAGCCTAGGGGAGACAAGAGAGGGCAAGAGGAGATCATTGCTGAGAAGGCAGCCACGCACTGCAACGTAATTCAATGTAGGAACACGTTAATGCAGGAAGAATTTCTTCTGCTGCAGGAATACAACACCTAATGCAAAAAGACTCGTCTCAGACTTCTAGGTGCCACTGTAAAAATAAGCAACGATCAAAAGAAGCAAAAGAAAAACCTCTCTATTCAACCAGACATTTGCAATCTACTGTCTTTATTCATATAGCTGTTGCTCGTGGTACGATCGGGGTACGAGCAACTTTACAAGGACTCCTAGTACGTGATTGGTTTTCCCAGTGTATTTGAGAACTCCCTTAGCTCGAGAAGGACATCTCTCCATTCCCAGTGCATCCACTGGCAGCCACAGAGCCAGTGCTGCTGCAGCCTGTGTGCTTGGACAGCAAAACACCGCGCAATACAGATGTGTCTTCCAGGAAGACCCGGCTGCCTGTGGCATTTGGTCATACTAAAGATTGCATCTCACTTCCCAACCTAGCCTGTTACAACTGAAAACCCCTTAGAAATGAGTATTTGAAGTCACATGTGCTGCAATGATTATTACAATTATGAAACAATAAGCCCTAATTCAATCTACACATTTACACCACCCTTCATAGCAATGTGTCTCCCCTTCTTTCAAAAGTTTCTTTGTGATGCCAGTGATGAACATCTTGCCACTCCATTTCACTCCTCTTTCTCCTGTCCCCCCCAGCCCCCCAAGAAAGGAAAAGAGAAAGGAAAAGAGAAAGGAAAAGAGAAAGGAAAAGAGAAAGGAAAAGAGAAAGGAAAAGAGAAAGGAAAAGAGAAAGGAAAAGAGAAAGGAAAAGAGAAAGGAAAAGAGAAAGGAAAAGAGAAAGGAAAAGAGAAAGGAAAAGAGAAAGGAAAAGAGAAAGGAAAAGAGAAAGGAAAAGAGAAAGGAAAAGAGAAAGGAAAAGAGAAAGGAAAAGAGAAAGGAAAAGAGAAAGGAAAAGAGAAAGGAAAAGAGAAAGGAAAAGAGAAAGGAAAAGAGAAAGGAAAAGAGAAAGGAAAAGAGAAAGGAAAAGAGAAAGGAAAAGAGAAGAAAGGAAGGAAGAGCAGGGGACTGGAAGTACAGAAGTCAGATGAAAAGCCCCAGCGTCACCCCTGACGTGGTGCAAAACTGCAGCAGAGCTGCTACGGGAGGTCAGTGCTCCCAACTGCCCCCATCGCAGCACAAATAGCCCTGGCATTTAGACCAGACAAACCTCATGTCACCAATTAATTGTGCCTGACAGAGTGGCAGGCACAGATCCAGGTCTCCAAAAAATGAATGGCAGGTACATTACACTGATACACCTCTATCCTCCTGAAGGTCAGGAATTTGAAGCTCTGTCAGTGTAAACTGGATATTAACATAAGCACAGAAACAGTTGGGGGAATACGCAATCGCTGAGTGCACGACAGCCCAGGGCCTGGGGAATTTCTCTTGTGGTCTTGTGAATCAATGCTATAGTTCAGAAATACACCCCCAATACCAAACACCTTCCCCCGATAAAAACCTAGCACAAGTACTTGCTGTTACACAAGAATGTAATTTGCTTTGGATATCTAGATTATAACTGACTCCTCCCATAAGAGAAATATTAATCAGCAAAACAATATTAATAAGAGGGCAGAGTTAACCAGTGCGTATCTTCTCTCTTTCTCTTCTGTGCAGGCAAACACACTCGCTGAAGTTGTTGTTTAGGCCATGACCTATAAACTAAATTCATGTATCATTTGGACTTTGCTTTCCAGCCTGCTTCCCCAGGAATTACTCTATTATCTTAACTTGCTGAGCAGCTCAGAACAGTTGCTTTTAAAACTAAATACATTTATCTCCCTCGATGTCTTATCATTCCCTGTAAAAGGTTCCTTCTCCATGTTCCACACTACTAAAATTTAGCACAGCCCCATCTAACAGGAATAACAGAATTAAAATTAAATAGGTTTTTTTTTCCACCCCCTAAAAACAAACATGAAAGCTATTTCCTCAAACACACATCTGCTTCACGCTCTACTTGGATGGCAAACAGCCTCCGTGTGCTATTGCCAGAAGTTATTCTTTGGGCTGCCCAGTTCTGGTTTAGGGAATTTCCAAATGCGCGTAATTAAAAAGGGTGAGGGAGAAGGGGAGAATTCCCCACGTAAACATTTTTCACAAATACAGTTAACAGTGGCTATTAAATCCACCAGCTCAGCCTAAGAGGAAAACACTGTTTCAGAACAGAGGGAGTCACCCACTGGTAGGTGGGAGACAGACACAAAACCCATAAAACCAGAGTTGGTTCTGCAACCGATAACGCTGGACACTGACCCCTGACGTCCGTGTGCCTCTGAGTGACTATCTGCTCAGCACAGGGGCTATCCTCTCTGGGTTATGACTGATCCATGAGCCTGTTAACAGGAGTGAAGGCTGCAGAGTAGGGCCCTGAAGTGATGAAGAAAAAGCCACAAGAGAGCTACGTACTTCTAAACAGAGCAGAGGATGGGGGATTTCCATTCTTCTCCCCACCTCCCATTTGAAAAAAATCACAAAAGGAATTCAAATGGGCATTTTATAAGCTCGAAAAATTAGAAAATCCACTGCCGCTGCCCTCCCAGAAGTTGGGTTTGGTTAGAGGCTAAATTTGCAGCCCATCTATTTCCCCCTTTTACAAGGTGCTCAGTTCTGGACAGAAGGTCTCAGAGCCTGTAACCTGCCAAACCCTCAGGCAGATGCCCGGTTTTGCCCACGTAAGCATGTCCAAGCTGAAGCCTTAGGACGCAGGCACCACATTGCTCTCTGCAAGACCACACATTCTCCCTGCGTGCCCCGTACATGATTTGGGAGTGCTGAAGCACTTTGTAATCTGCTTTTGAAGACCTATCAAGGACAGCTGTTATACAAGGGAGCAGGCTTGTATTTACTGGCAAGCAACATCTTCCTCTGCAACACAGCTATATCAGATGTAAACAACTTGAACTTGCGCCCCTGTGGCATTAACGATTTCAGAAATCCCACCCAGGATGCCAGCAGCAGATGTCTGCATGCGTGAGCACGTACCAGCACGTGGCCATGCGAGACCACTGGTGATAGCAATGCACTTGCAGCACGACACCTGAGAAGACACATGGTGCTGCTACCTGAAACAGCCAATGAGTTCCTCCACGTTTGCCATAAAAAGTAATTCCCTGCAACAGCTGGTGTTTTTCCAGGATCATTTATCAGAGACACTAGTGAAGGGTCCCACACTAGGAAACAGAGGAGCTCTCCCATCATTTCCCATTACTGCTTCCAGTTCACCAACCACACAGCTATTCAAACAGAAGGAGATCGGACTTACGAGTTCACACACAATACTACAATGTTTTTCCACAGGTTCCTTGTTCCCACCACTTTAACAATGCAGACTTTCTTCGGTCTCCTGGTGATCTCCTTTTCCAGCTCTGAAACAAACCAAATCAAAATTATTATTTCAGTGGGGAGAACGAGAAGGAGAAGCTTCGCTTGTGAACTACAGAAATTCTGAGGGATGTTCTGGAGAGCAGGACACTATCGATTACACTAACAGGAGCTATAAAAACACTGAATAACCTGCCTAAAGTCCGCCTCAGGTTCTTCCTTTTCTTCCAGGCTTCCCTTAATCTTCTTGGGGCTGAAGAACTGCCCAAGAACTCCTTCACACCCCAAACCTTCTCCCAGTTTGAAACACGTATGTAAAATAGGGGCAGTACAGAGCTTGATTCCAGCAAGCATGATTAAAATTTCCTGAAGAACTTCAGGATTCTGTTAATATTTAACCCCCCCCAGGCAGGACTGTGCTTGTGCAGCTACAAGACCTGCTGCCTTTCTGCAATGCACACCTGAAAAGCCATGGAAAGGACTGGAGCTCAAACTCATTTTTCATGGGAATCTTTTGAGGTTTGTTCAAATCCAAGTTTCAGAAAGAAGTGGCTAGGACACTATGTCAGCTCATCCTCTTCCCCCCCTCAACATTTCAAATATTTAAAATCGTTCTGATGGACGTCCTAAACAGAAGACACTTCCTTAAGGAAAAATCCTTGGGCATCATCAGCTGTGATGTCTTTGCGTTTCAGAACTAAAGCCTCACCACGTCCTTAAAACGCTGGGCAGCTGCAAGCTAACTTTTCTTTGCAATACTATAGTAACAGACAAGCCTCACAAATATTGCATCCGATATGCTTGTTGGCATGGGACAGTAATGAAGGGCACTGCTTACTTCCCAAATATCACTAGGTTAGAGCCTGAACACCTGCCTAAGCATGCCAACAAAACCACTGTTTCCAAGCTACTGGATCAGTGAGACAGCTGCAAGGGCATAAAGTCTGGTAAAAACGGAAGAAGCTGTGTCCATAAAGAAGCATCACAAAAACCAGACTAGAACTAGTTTTTAGGGCAAAGACTTGTACTGCTGCTTTCTAGGCTGACTGCGTTTAAAGGCGGCAGCGCGGCCCTGTTCTGGACCGCGCATCCGTTCCCTTCGTGCATACGCAATTAGCCCGGGTGTCCTCAGTCGTCCGCACTGGCCTGCCCCGACCTCTGTCTTACTCCACTGAATAGCAATCTCTTCAAGAGATGCAAGACAGGGAAAAAATAAAAGCAAGCCGCGGGGGAAAAAGAATGAGATAAATCACCCGAATTTACAAACAAAACAAAAGACACATTTGTCCGCTGTTATTTGAAAATTGTATCATAAAAATAATAAATCAAAGAAACACTATTTATATGCAAATAGCTGAGCTATTCACTGCTTACAGGTCACTCCTGGTCTTCTATCTAGAGTAACTACAGGGAACGCTTCTGAGAAAAGCAGCAAAGGGTATTTTACATTAATGATTGTACTTAAGCAGAATATTGCTGTACTACTTTCCTTACCATCTGATAATATCCATTTCTCCCCAGAATCTACGCAGCATGAAGGTCACAAAAGCATAAAAACAGAGGTGGAGCAAAAGAGGAAATTGGTCAAATTAATATTTGTACTACAGGAGCACTCAGCAGGCTCAGCAATGGATCAGGGCTATATTAAAAAAAAAAAGCAATAAAAAAGATGGTACCTAATCTCAAAGCGCAAGGTCAAAATGATTTTTGCAGCAAGATTCTGGAAAGCGGTAAATGGGAATAAAATAATTCAGAACAACTGAAGCAGTTAGATAAAACATAGTTACAAAGCCTATAATTGAGCCCAAGCCAAACCTTCTACAGCAAAAAAGTCAAAGCAAGCACTAGAAGCAGCACAAGGTTTTGAAAAGCTGTTGATGACTCTTTACTATTTCAGCTGAAGGACAACAATGAAAATCACCACCCAAACAACACACATTGCACAGATTTCATGGGGACATAAGGGTTCACTCTCAAACTGTCTAAGAATGACCAGATCTGGCCTGTCGAAGTAAAACATCTCCTCTGTCAGCAGAAGACAGTCCCTGATGCCATATTCTTCAGATTTTCTTAATTTGTTTTTTTTTGTTTCTCAAAGTCATTTTTACTTTTTCCTTTGGGAAGAGAAAGTAGATTTTATTGTGTGTGCTTTATTGAGCCACAACTTACAAAAATTAAGAGAAGCAACGCTTAACTTGGTTACTCTTCTCTGTGGAGCCAAACATTATTTTGCCCTCCACTCCGGCTTTGTTCATACATTAGGGGTTGCTACAATCCATATGTTCTTCATTTATTGTCACGCATCCTTCTCTTGTGCACTCAGGCCCCCTTTTAACCTTTCTTATAAATCAGTCCTTCCGAACTAATTCCTGTTACTGTTTTTCACTGAACTGCTGCTCTACCCTCACGTAAAGAATAGCCCGTGGGTTATGTGAACTGGCAAACACATCCTCTGCTTCAGCTGCAGCAAGGATCCCACATGAGGGGAATTTCACCCCTTCTCTACCCTGCCTCACGCAGCAGTCTCCCTTCAGTAGATCCTTGCTTCTGCTCTGATGGGGGTTATACTCCATGGATACATAGCATCATTTTACGGAAGTGTCCCAAAAGAGATTCCAGATGTAGTTGCATTACAAGGATTAAAGAAAGAAAAAAAAACCACCCAAAAAAAAGAAAAAAACCAAAAAGTAGAAAAAAAAAAGAAAGAAAAAAAAGAAGGAAAAAAAGAAATTGGCCTCAAACCTTACACCAAAGAATGCAAACAGCACCTGACTTTTTACTGAAAGCCTTCTGGCTCTACAAGCTATTTACTCCTCCATCCTTCTCTGACACATTAAACTCCAAATCTAAGTCACCTGCTTCAGATGAATGACTCTCCCCAAGTCTCCAACACCATCTATCTTTCTGGTGACTTTCTCCATCCTTTATTTCTATATATACTAGTCAGATGTTCTCAGAAAAAAAAAGCCACCCCAAAATCAATCATTTACAATAATCAAAATATCATTCAGATAACAACAAATAAGCTGTATGACTTGCAAAAAAAATAATCACCTACAGAACTGGCTCTCATTTAAGTGTCCTGCTGTTTTTGGAGGTAGCCTGCTTTGCATGAAAGGACCTGCTCTGACTGATTGTGATGGGCATCAGGAGAGTGGCAGCTCTTAGGCTGTCTGGACTTTATAGGTCAGCATTAAGATCTTAAAAGAGAAGTCAAGCCAATGCCTATTAAAACCCCATGGAAGCAAACTATTGCGCTCTCAGTTACTGGAATAACACCAGGAAAACTCCCCCTTTCCCCAATCTATTCTTTGATTTTGCACTGAAGTCACCAGTTCAGAAGGAATTTGCACTAAACGTTTCAGTTCTGACTGATTTACCAGAAGGGTGAGTGTGGAAAATAAAAAAATATTTCTATCCACTTACTCAGAGGCCCATTATGAGTTTTCCCATACTCCGGAGCCCACACACACTCTAGGCTTCCTATTCAGGGACTCAGTAGGAAAACTGTCAACAAGCTAACTCTTTATATCTCAGTGGAAATTAAAACTATTCATTGGGAGACTTTAAAAGTCTCATGGGGAGGGGAACCCTACCAGCTTCCAGCTCCCAACGCTGTTGAATTCTCGTGGGATCCTCCGCGTTTCAGGAGCACGGCTTTCAAATTCAGAAAGTATCTTTAAAGCCTTCAAATGAAGGCACCCATCTCTGCATCACTTGGCAAAGACAAAATAGACAAAGCTCAAATCAAGCTGCCGAAAAAGGATGTCCAAAATGACAAGTGTCCTGTGGTGATGGACTTCTGCTGGATTTTTCTGGCTGCTAAAAGATACTGTCAGTAGCTCTTTGAACATGAAAAGAGCTATGGAAGCCCAGCACAGAGGCTCAATCAATCCCTGGAGCACGACAGCTCTGCAGCAGGAGGTAGATCGGTCTGAAATGCAGAGCTGAAGCAACCTACTCCCGGCCACACTGAGTTACTGGTACACAGGGTTATTTATACCTTCCAGGATTTCTGTCTCCATGAACTCCCTTTGTGCTCATTTATTTATTTATTTATTTTTAATCATGGAGGCCTATCAGCCTGATACATTGCATTTTTGAAAAGCCTAATAGTAAAGGAATATTGAAGGCTATCAAGTCACATACAGAAATTATGAGGTGGGTAAGGAGCTGATTGATGGGCAGACAGCAATAAGGGTAGAAAAATGGAAATCAGAAGCGGATGACAGGAGGTTAGTGGCGGGGTGACTCATCTTATTCTCAAGAAAAAAAGAAATCTAGTTTAATAACCTCCCTAGGGAGCTTGGCACAAACCTTAGGAATGTGCCAATGAAGTCTGCTGGTGACAAAGCAAGGCACTGCCAGCTGTACAGCACAGAAATGGGACATCAGCGGGAACTGGGTGAGCTCGAGACTGTGTGTGGCAAAAGCAAGTAAAAAAATGCAAAATACAAGGTAAGACACTCAGGGACTAATGGGAAATGCTTCTGCTGGAAGATAATACTGTGTTGGACTTGGTTATATACTACATGATCACAAGTGACTGGAAGGCACCAGTCTGTTGTGTCCATGAGGTATTTGCAATTCAGACAATGAAATACTGGTGCTCTTTTACAATTCTGATCATCAATATTTGAGAAGCTAAAGCCTTGGCAAGCCTATTTATAAAAGGAGAGGAGATAGAGGAGAACTTCAGCTCAGCAAAGGAACGGGGCTGCTGTCTGCTCACACGGCATGGGAAGAGAGAAAAAGAGATTTAAGATAGTCACAGACAGGAGCAAATGGGAAGGGGAAAAAAGGCAAAGAACCTGGACAGCTATAGTGTATTTGAACTGAATGCTAAAACGTACCCTACTACAAGACCAATTTGGATTCTGGAATGGCCTTCCAACAAAAGCACGGGACATAAATACTAACAGCATTTAAAATGAAGCTCATTTCTTGAGAGCAACTGTGTAACTCGGTGACTATAATAGCAAAGGACTGATTGCAATAATTTGTTTCAATCCTGTATTTCTAATTACATTCAAAAAAAGACAGGAAAAGCCAGACATAAGGTTGCCACTGCAACCTTGAATTGCTCGTATCAAACGCATTATGATACAGCACTTAATTAGATGATCACACATTAGTTTTTCCCCCAGAACGCTCACTGCAGTCAGCAAATGGGCAGCTATTAATGATGTCTCTACCTTTCCCATTCAACATGTGCCCCTCAGCCTTATTATCCAAACCTCTCAGTAAATACAAAATCATAGGTTTCCTCAGAGACATTCCTACAGTGCTGTCAGAATATTCATGTACCTCATAAATACCAATGAAATCATCTCCACCACCTTCTTATAAGAGTAAGGACAAAGATTATTCCTGTTTTGCAGGCAGGGAGATAAAATACAGAGGAATTGTGTCCAGAATGAGAAAAATCATGCAGCGATACCCCCTGTAGGTGCTGATATAAATGCTCCAGCTTTCTGCAAATCAAGCCCCAGAATTACATGCTAGAGACAGACACTGAAGAAATTGTGAGTAGTAATAGCACTGGAAGAGCCTGATTCTGGGGAATTTCCATCATTGTACAAGGACATCCCTGGCAGACACAGGGAACGAGTACAGCTCTTCAGGAGGCATTCAGCTTCATTGTCCCAAGACTGTCCTCTTTCCTTCTGCAACCCTCTGCCTCATTCACTACACACCTTCCAAATTCTGCAACAAATGAGGAACAGACAACAGCTTCATTCCCACAGCATCGTCCATCCTATGCACTGATTCGTCCATCCTATGCCCTGTGGAAAAAATAGGTCGTAATCATGTTATTAAAGGCTATATCATCATGCCTTCATGCCAGGAGGCCAAGCAAGGGTTGCCCAGGCAACCTGACTTCTTGCATTTCCCAGAGCGTGACTTGTCAATATTTACATTCCTCTAACAAACATTAAAATGCCTTCATGCCAGGAGGCCAAGCAAGGGTTGCCCAGGCAACCTGACTTCTTGCATTTCCCAGAGCGTGACTTGTCAATATTTACATTCCTCTAACATTACCAACATTAAAAAAAAACAAACAAAAAAACCACACAAAGAATACCTCAAATGTCATTGTGTGGAGCCCCATCTGGGCCATCAGGAGGTTTCAGGTACCTACACATTGCATTGCTGCTATCTACTGCCAGAACTATGGAGGAAACCTCAGCAGACAGAGCAGGTGAGTTGGGCAGTAGAGAGGGATGAAACACACATTTTAGGAGTGGATTTCACAAGAGAAGAGGGCGCAGACTGAATCCGTGGGCTCGACAGCTTGTTCTGGAGGGACGGGGAAGCAAATGATCGCAGCCCCTTTGGTCTCCGTGCTCTAGCTCTCCTCTGCTCTTCCTCTACAGCCATTAATTCCCCACATTCCCTTGTTGCCTTTGGCCCTCCAAGTCTCCTCCAACTATCTTTATTCTTTGCTCCCACAACTCTTTTCACTCTCTTATTTCCTCTCTTCTCTGTCCACCAGTCCCTCTTACTGCTCTCCGCCTCCGCTTGGTTCCTCGGGTCTCCTCTCCTAACCCCTCACATCTGCATCCAGACTCACACATCCTCTCCCCTCTCGGTGCACGCGGGCCAGGGGAGCGCTGGCAGGGCCAGGGCTTGCCGCCAGCCCTCCGCACACGGTTCCTGCCCTGTAAAGCTGGCTCCTCCAGGAGGAAAGGTAGCACTGCGGACAAAGAGCCAGTGTGCCAGCCGGGCACAGAGCAGCTGTGACAGGCTGGAGCGCGGCCAGTGAGAGTCTGCAGAGGACTCAACTGGTGAGAAAAAGTTATTCAAACTTCAACAGAGCCGGACACACACACACCTTTTTTTTTTTATTTTTAAATTTTCTAGCATATTTGGTTTTTCCCAGTGGCATCAAAAGGTACGTCCTTGGTAGAGCGCTCCCTTTTTCCCCTGTCCCCTCCCAACCCTGCTGCTGTCAGAGGTCACTACCGCCCTCACCAGGGATACAGCCAGGGCATGCATGGGCTCTCCTCTTCCATTCTTGTAGACCTAGCCAGCAGAAGAGGACTTAACTGACCAGTTTTATTCTTATTACTCGCTATTTATCATGTACTGCATGTCCTGAAAGAGTTACACAAACTCCATCAGTTCCTGCTCCTGGACAACAGGGGACCACCAGGAGAAACCCAGCCCCTCCTGAAGGCTGATTTAACATACAAAAGGGCAACAGAAATCACTGGCTGGTTTTGTTTGAGATAGAAATCTCAATGGCTGACACACAGTCCTCTCCAAGACTTAAAGGCTGCCTTCAAGTAGCACCTTGAACTGTTTTAACTAAATTTCCCACATTTACCTGACTACCCCCTGGGACTTGCATGGGATATTTAAGTTCGGCACCATTAAATAACCAAGAAACAGCATCTGGTAAAGGAACACATCTGGCAGGTTTGTACGTAGTAGCATCACATGGAGTTACCTGTATTATAGGGCCAGGGAACTTGCTTTCTCTCTCTGCATAATACACCTGGCTCTTCATCCACCACAAGCTTTAAAACAGTAATGCAGTTGTAGGTGTGATTGTCTAGGATATGAGTAAAGCTTTGTAGGGAGAGTTAATCTCTTCTATTAGGGAAAGAGACTGACTTTCAGATATAAGGCTTTTTCACCCTTCCCTCTGCTATTTACCCAATGAAAAAAAAAGCATGCAAGTACATAGATCCAAGCCTCATGCTTCGGAAGAAAAATGTATATAGCAAAACAAAACAGGAAACTAGCTTATGTATAAAAGAAAAGTCATGGCAGTGTGTTGCTCAGTAGCAAGAAAGGTGAACGATAATTTTTTTTTTTCATTAAAAGGAAAGTCCCTGAAAACCACAGCTTTCCTAACTGCAATCCACACACACGCACAGAGTACTGTACCCCTTCTTCCCCTCCACAACGTGTCCTGCACACTAAAGTATTTGTGTCTATTCGGACACTCGATCTTTGCTGGCCACTTTCGTAATTACATCAATATTATTTCTCCAAGCTTAGAAAGGAACCTTAGAAAGGAACAGCTATAACCGGTCTGTCCACAGGAGCACTCTGGTTTTGATCTAGAGATGAGCAAAAAGGGGGTTTTGTTATTCAGCCTGGTCAAGCAGTTATTTTTCTGTTAAGGAACATCTGAAACGTCACCCACTAAAGGGGAAGAGAAGGAGAACCGCACAAGGGTGGGTTTCCATGGAAGCATCAAGTCTGACACTCAGGTAATTGCTGATACGGCTCTTCAAGTGGTGCATTTCCCAGCACAGTCAAACACGCCGGCAGGGCTAGGTGCCGGTGCAGCGGAGATCAGCTTGCAGCAGTCGATCTGTTCCAGCTAACAAAGAGACCCTTCGCCCCACGCGAAGAAAAAACATGCATCCTGCCAAAATAATGAAAGCCAGCTAATGTACAATACGCCTTTAAAAGGTGTAAGGACAGTTGGCACTTTGGGATTTCCAATTCCCCTAAATTCCCCTTTTCTCCTGTTCTTTAAACAGATCTCTGTGCTTCCTTAGCATTTATTTCACTCAGGTCAAAACGACTGTCCTACAGCTGCGCTGAACTGAATGTTTGCTTCTTGTTCCACAGGGGAACAGGGAAGAGATGGGGAAGTTTTTGGAGAAACTGGCAGTGAAAACCTTGTACTGAATTAATATTATCAAAATATTTCATTTGCTCATGATTGAAGCTGACTTTTTTGGATAACGTTTTGAAATATTTGTCAACAAAACTCATCAAGTCTGTTTTACAAATGACATTTCAATATGCAGTTGGATACAAATCATTCCCTTGATGCAAAAATGAATTTAAACTTTTATTTGTAAAAGAGGGCAAAGTATTGAGCCAACTGGTGAAATTTTGAGACTCAAAACATTAGGGATGATTTAACCCGGGCTAATTACCACACCTAGATTTCTTAAGCATTAAAGAAGAAAATACGACCACATAAAACCAAAAATCTCTTTATGAAGGCAAATTATTCCTGCCAAAAATCACAAGGTGAAACAACCACTCAAAAATAAAGTCACTTAAAGCTGTTGAGGGGGCAGCTCTCCTTTGGTTTTGCAACCAACAACAGGCAGCCCTGGGGCAGGTTACTGAGAAGATAAGGGTAATGTTAATTTACAACACTCTGGACTCCTATCAACATCCCTTGTCTCACTTAATCTGTTTGCCATGCATACTCTTCCCCGGCTAAGCATTACCCATCAGCCGCTCATACTGATTTTCTCCAGACGGGGGTTGTTACCACAGCTGCCAGACCTTTCAACTGCAGCTGGACCCCTGACCAGACATTTCGTTGTCCTCTTCAGAGACACCTCCCAGCAGAGCACTGGCAAACCGCTCCCACCCTATGGATTGATTCAAAAACGGCAGATAAATTTTGCTTCCTTTTTTTCCACCCAACACGTGGGCCACCTCCCTGTGGAGCAAACAGGCCTTACAGAAGGTTAGTGGCACTTCCCGCTATGGGCAGCGTAGCCAAATGGACGAGTAAAAGCTTTCAGCAGGCAATGGGAACGGTGTGATCCTTCAGAAAGCAAAATAAGCCTATTCATTGCTTGGACAGCAATTAAAAATTGCATTTTCTTCCATCCCAGAAATACTTCACCCACTTGAAAACTACTTCTTTTTATTATGGAACGCGTATCAGCTGCCAGAATGGATACACATGAAACTACTGTAACTCCTGTAATGATCTGTTATATAGGATACACTAATTTGACTGGTACGTATGAGTAAAATTACAGTGGGGTTTCCAGCTGGAAGGGACTGCAAGTGAGCAGTTTATCATTTAAATGTATTGGGAGTAATTCAGTCACAGGAGGCTGTTAACGACAATGCAGCGAGGAATAATAAACAGCAACACAATGGCCCCTAACCAGAGCAAAAGGGTTTCCAGCCCTTTCAGATGGAAAACAAAGAATAGAACAAATCACAAACAAAAACCCCTCCACACAGATAGGAAAGCTCAACAGTGGAGTCAAGGGGGAATAGGGGATATCTGCATCAGGCTCAGTGGCATCCCTTCCCCCAGACAAGTACCAGCTTTTTACCCATTCCCTGCTACAGCAACTACGGGTATGCGATTATAACACACAAAAGCAGAGAAATGCTTTCTTCTGCTTACAGACCCACTGGGAGACACACGGCCTGCGGTTTGATCACATTCTTCATTCGGGATTTCTACTTTTCTCCTGTCCCCACTCAGACCATCAACACTCCCATACACCCAGAATGAGAGAGAAGGTCCTTCCTTCCAAAATTTTTAGTTAAGCTCATTTCATTCTTTTGATACTGCTCCTTTCTTACTCTCCCTACAGAAATGCAGCATCCCTCCAGCGCTGGGTCAGGAAAGCCTTAAATGTGTGGGGCTGCAGAGAAAGTTTAAAGAGAAAAAGCGAGGGAAGAAATAATAAAAAACCCCAACAAATCCAGCATCAGCAAGGAGGCAGAAATGATCATGTTCTGTATCACTTAAAGTTTGCAAAGGGTAATGTACTGACAACTGCCGTATCTAAATGTACTTGCAGGCAGACAATCCATAACATCAAGATGTGTAATAATGCTCTGTCTTCCACATGAAAGGGAGTCCTTCCTTAAACAGGAGTGTACTCCTACCATGAACTGCTGGAAAAAGTAATCAGTCACGAATAATAGTCATAAAACCATTTTGATACTTAGCATTCCTCCATGGACAATATCATTATACGTGGCTTAAATAAATCCCTCTAGCACACAGTCGCATCTTTATCATTTTCCTTAAAGGAAACTCAGGTAATTAATTTTTTCTTTCCCCTAAAATACGTTTTATTTAATCTGCAAATTCAAGAAGTTGACTAGCTGAGAAAAGCCAAATTGAGAGTTGGCTGGGAAACTCCAAGTCCAATTGTGAGACATTTCGTTGCCTCGCAGATAGGTTTTCCCCAAGACCCATCATTTACTCTGGGGAAGATCTGCAGAAAGGAGGTGGCGGGGATGGAGATCACCAGGTTAATCTGGGAGATCACCAGGCTGCTCACATACCCCCCAGCTTTTCAGAACTTTACCAGAAAAATGGCATTTACATTGCAAAGCCATGTTGTGTGCCATAGGGATCCAGGAACTGTAACCCCAGACACCCAATTCACGTGCAAACAAGCTAATTAACACCAGTCTGCCAGCTGCATCAGAAATCACAGCAGTGACCAAGGTATGAATACCACAGACGCAAATCGGACTTCATCCCTCACTGATGAAGACTGCTTCATTCGTTAGGCACTGATGTTAATGGTGACATTTTTCTATTCTGGATGAAGTCTGTTCCAGCGCTGACTGATGCCTTTAGCACTGACTGAAGCTACAGTTACCCCAGAGACCTTTGGCATCAGCGAGCATCAGCCAAGTGCAGGAAGCATCACCCCTACCCGCGGGCAGAGCTACTGGGTGAGGTCTCCCTGCAGCCCCTGGGGTCAGAGTAGGTAGGGTTTGAAAAAGTGTGTGTGGGAAGAATCATTTCCACTGTTTTCTGACTAGTGGGTAGTCTGATACAGATTGCAAGTGACAGTGCAAAATGGGTGTTTATGGGTACCGTCAGGCCTGTGGGAAGGAAGAGGGGAGCCTGAACCAAATCTGACAGGTGGACCAGTGAGATGAGTATCCAGAAACGCCTCACCTTTATTGTAATTAGAGACACACACACACACACAGAGTCTCTTCTGCAAAGCACCCTGCGAGACAGGAGCACACCTATTTCAGTGGCAATCCTGGTGATAAGAGTTGTCAGCTCTTTCTAAAAGCATCAGTAAACCAAGGAACCGATAATTTAGACTCTCAACCAAAAACTGCACCCTACCGCTGCTGCTCGCAGCCCCTCCACCCCCAGAGCAGCGTCTTTCAGATTATGTGGGAGAGGAAAGCAAAACGGCTTTTGGAGGAAGGCTTTAAAGAGAAACTGTAATGTAGTTTAGGTCTGCCACAGGGCTGGTGCTTTAGCATTTGGGGTTCGAGTGCTGCTGCTTCTCCAGACCAACAAAGTAAGTGTTGCGTGATGGGCAGGATCCCAGCCAGCAGCTTCCTTAAAACACAGTTTCCAGAGGCATACAGGGCTGAAGGTGCACTCTGTAGCCATGGTAAAATTCTTCAAGAGATGTCTCTAAAGACATATGGCACTGCAAGATGAGACTATAAATACTACACTGTTCAACAGGCCGAGTAATTTTAAACACAGTGCTGGAGTTTGGAATGGTTTTTCAAGAAAATCAAAATGAATGAATAATGAATGAACGAATGAATGAACGAACAAACGGGACGATTTTACAGGCAGTAAATAGATTATTTAATTCTAGGCAGCAATGCCACGTGCAGCCTTTTGAGAAAAGCGAGCAACTTTATCTGAGTGGAGGGATTTGTCGTTGTCTGTCTGTCCTACTCACCGGGCACCACTCCTTTGATGTCGCTTTCCGTGTTCATCCTGTTCTTGTGCGTGAACTGAAGGATCAGTTCCTTGGATGCCTCAAACTGCTGTGTAGCCATCAGCCACCGAAGGGACTCTGGGAAAATACTTCAAAGATGGAAAACACGTTAGGGTCGCTTCCAACTTTCTGTCAGAGGAAGAACTGAGAGTGTTTAGCTGCTCATTTAACCGTTCATGAGCTACGCAAGTATTTTCAAAAAGCAGAATCACTTATGAAACAAGTAAGAGGAAAAAAAGATTCAGAATGTGCAAATTAATGGCATTTTCTTTTACACTGATTCACAAATGATACAGGAACTATCCTATCACCTAGAAATAGGACATATTAGAATTTTATAATGTGTTAGAGGCGTTCTGCCCGTTAATACAATTTTGAAAGAATTGGGAGGAGGAAGCACTGCCTGCAATAGACATTTGCTGCCAAGCAGGCAATGAATGAGCTGTGCAGTTAACACAGGGTAATTCAGACCAAAGAAGGAAAATACCGGACAGAAGTGATTTGGATTCTCTTGTAAAGACAGAGAGAGAAAAGAGAAGAATTACTTTTTAGGATTATAACGGAACAGATTTTTTAAATTTTTAAACGTGCCAAAAATCTTCTTCCACATATGCAGACTTTAAGCCATTCTTTTATACAGGTCAGTATTGTGTATGCTCCAGATGACATTCAGCTGTTGCTCTAAAAGTTTCCCCTAATAAAGGCAATACTATGTTAGCTGAGATGCTTAAAAACATATACATGCACACAGAGTTACAAATAAAAAAGTTTATTTTCCACCCAGTTGTTTCGTTCAAGTGCTGATATTCACCTGATTCATTAGCTTAACTGATCATTCTTCCTTTTTTTCCAGATGAGTTTATTTTCATACAAAACCAAAAGAAATATGTAGATCTTAAAACAAACAAACAAAACCTCCCATACTTCCACAGATATGAAAACTTTCAGATCTGACTCCAAGCACATTTTTCTTTCTTGTTTAGGCCTCATTTTCACTAATCTTACAAAAGACCTTTCTAAGAACAAACGTAGCAACTACTTTTAACTTCAAATATATAATAAACCTCAAATTTCCTTCACAAAGCACCGATCTTTGCTGTGGATGCTGCTTCAGTTCTTTTACTTCTAGGCAGCGGACCAGGCAATTGCACCATTATGGTACTATCTTTTAAGGTTGATGCAATTTGGAAGACAGCTTAGCGAAACCTCCATCCTAGATAAAGAAAGTATAATTTTTTTTTTTTTTTTTAAGAAGAAAAAAGGAGAGAAGTCAGACAGACTGCAAACCAAATGATATCAGGCAACAAAAATATGTAACAGCCATGATGACAGCTATTCAGCTTGACAGCTTATTTACTACCACTGGTGCTGCATGGATGCTTTGGCATATCCTCCTGCAGAAAGTCCTGTACTGCAAATGCATGTTTTGAAAAATTAAGAATTCTCTGAATGCAAAATCTCCCTGTGCTTGGCTCCGGAGAGGGGACAGCCTCAGCCACTAGCCTAAAAGCTGCACTTTTTTGAACGGTCCGCTTACAGGTCCCAAATGGCAAGCCCTATGGGGAGCACCTGCTCCTAAGGAAGGAAGAGAGCCGCAGGGACGGGCATCGCAGGGACAAACGCTGTCTCTGCCTTCCAGCTCCTACAGGTTTCTCAAACTGGAAGTGCTGAAGCCTCACATCTTTCAGCTGCTCCATTACTCAGTGCGAGCAGTGGGAAGTTCATTTAAGGATCTTTAAAAACTCTTGGGCTGCTTTGAACCCAGGTTATCAGGCACAGCAAGGGGAAGTGCTGGCTGCCCTGTCCCTGTGCAAGTGCCAAGCTCACTTGTGGAGTATGGACCCTGCTGCCAAGGCTCATTTGTACGCACCTACTGTTGCATCTTCTGTTGCCAAACCAAGGACCATCACAAACTCAAAAGCCAAAAAAACCCGCCAACCCCCTGGCCGCTGTGGAATTCTGCACAGAAACTTGGTCACAACCTCATTCTTCATCACCCGGCATTAAATACTAAATATATATATTAATGAAGCTGAGACAGCTTTCTGCCAAGGGTGGGCAGTCGCCCAGATCACCAGGCTGAGCCGACTGCAGACACCTGGTTGATAGCCTTCTACCTCCTCCACCAGCAAGGAAAGGACCAGCCTTCTGCAGTCAAAGAAAAGAGCGGGGGGTGGGTGGGTAGGGGGGAATGTTCATCTCCTGTTACCCAGCTGCTGCTTGGGAAAGCAGAGGGGGAGAAGAGTGAGAGGGACACTGGGAAAAAAGATCCTGAGCCTGAGAAATCCTAAGAGCAGAGAAGAATCCTTGACAGACAGAAAAAGGCCAGGCAGGTACCGCGCATAGCTGGAAGGAGAACCATGATCCTGTCCAGATGCAGAGCAAACCCATGCCCATGCAAAGGGTGTAGTGTGTCAATTAGGGGTCTGCCCCAGGGCAACAAGCCCAGTTATTACAACTTTGTGTCTTGGTGAGGGTAAATCCTATCTAACAGCACCAGAAAAGAACTGTCCACCCCTTCCCAGTTCTTCAGTTTTGGTTAGAGTGAAGCAGGAGTTTATTTCAGATTATTGATACCTTTGCTGACCTTCATGGCGTGGACCTGTCAGGAGCTTCCTGCATCCAAGGGAGAGGAAATAATGCCTCTGTATAACTGGAGATCCCCTTCCCTCATGGCTCTAACACACACACACTTTGAAAGGAACCTAACTGCTATTAACTTATTTTTATATGCTGTCACCAACCCCTGTGCTCACGTCCGGCTTATGTGGGTGCCTCTCTGCACTCCCAGAACAACCCGAGAGCTCAGCAAAGGCATCTGCTCAATTTGTGGGTGTCCCAGCCCACCAGCCCATCCCTCCTAGACAAATCTGCTGCTTCCCCCTTTCCTTCAATCCGTGCCCAGCTTGCCGCTCTGCTCAGCCACCCACCTCCTGGGGACGGTATAGCCTGCCATGTGCAGGCTGTGAGCAGAGCAAATCTCCAGGCTGGGAGCAGAGCAAATCTATAGGTGCTATCTATGCAGGTGGGAGAGGGCTAAGCCCCAGCATGGAGGGGCAAACAGCTCTCTCACAGCAGGAGATGGAAGTAAAGAGAGCAAGGTGGAAGGTGGAGGCAGCACAGGGGCTATCACAACATCTGTTATTGATCTCACTGCTTTGGGTATGTGATGGGGAATTAATAAGCAGAGCAGTTTTCCAGTTCTTCTTTTATTACAAATCAGTTCGATTTCTTCCTTCATCTGTAACATATGCTGAGGGTCCACACTCTATTCCCCAACACAATGCTGGGGGAAGAGGGGAAGAAAGGAAAGAGGTAATAAAACGGTAGCACTTTCCAGAGAATATGCAACAGATGGAAGAGAAAAGCCTAAAAGAAAAGTGCATACTGTACCAACAGTATAATTAAACAGGCATCCTAACCAGAGTCCATTTCTGCAAATGCAAAAACCCCCAGCAATGCAAATCCTGTTACTTTGGCTGTTACCACTATTTATCAAGCTGTCATATCACACATTATATAAGGGGGATCTATTTGCGTGGTCTGCCTGTCTTGTCCAGCCAAAAAGCCACAAAGGTCTTGGAGATTATAGAATCACAGAATCATAGAATAGTTTGGGTTGGAAGGGACCTCTAAAGGTCATCTAGTCCAACCCCCCTGCCGTGGGCAGGGACATCTTCAACTACATCAGGTTGCTCAGAGCCCCGTCCAACCTGACCTGGAATGTTTCCAGGGATGGGGCATCCACCACCTCTCTGGGCAACCTGTGCCAGTGTTTCACCACCCTCAGCGTAAAAAATACCCTTATTCTTCCTTATATCTAGTCTAAATCTACCCCCCTTTAGTTTAAAGCTATTCCCCCTTGTCCTGTCGCAACAGGCCCTGCTAAAAAGTCTGCCACCATCTTTTTTATAAGCCCCCTTTAAGTACTGATAGGCTGCAAGAAGGTCTCCCTGAAGCCTTCTCTTCTCTAGGCTGAACAACCCCAACTCTCTCAGCCTTTCTTCATAGGAGAGGTGTTCCATCCCCCTGATCATTTTTGCGGCCCTCCTCTGGACCCGCTCCAACAGGTCCGTGTCTGTCTTATGCTGAGGGCTCCAGAGCTGGACACAGTACTGCAGGTGGGGTCTCACCAGAGCGGAGCAGAGGGGCAGAATCACCTCCCTCGACCTGCTGGCCGCGCTTCTTTTGATGCAGCCCAGGATATGATTGGCCTTCTGGGCTGTGAGCGCCCATTGCCGGCTCATGTCCAGCTTCTCATCCACCAGTACCCCCAAGTCCTTCTTGGCAGGGCTGATCTCAATCCCTTCATCCCCCAGCCTGTACTGATATCGGGGGTTGCCCCGACCCAGGTGCAGGACCTTGCACTTGGCCTTGTTAAACCTCATGAGGTTCACACAGACCCACTTCTCGAGCTTGTCCAGGTCCCTCTGGATGTCACCCCGTCCCTCTGGCGTGTCAACTGCACCACTCAGCTTGGTGTCATCTGCAAACTTGCTGAGGGTGCACTCTATCCCACTGTCTATGTCACTGATTAAGATATTAAACAGTACCGGTCCCAATACAGACCCCTGCGGGACGCCACTCATCACCAATCTCCACATTATGCACAATCACATAAATTGAGCGGTTGACCACTACCCTCTGGATGTGACCATCTAACCAATTCCTCACCTGATTAGGAAATAAACGTTAGCATTTCCTATTGCTTTTAATGTCACCCAGGGACGACCTCTCAACAGGAATGTAGGGGGCCCTGACTCAGCCACCTGGAAAATGTGCTACCTCCAGAAGACTGCTGAGGAGTTACTGCTGTCTGTGTTGTCTATTGTATTCGTTAAGTGTCTTCATACTATCGTATTGTCCTTTTGGACACAAATATATGTAAACATCATGTTTGATATTGGGTCCTACACAGTGGTGGATATAATGCTTTCCAGCTGGCGGGCATCCCAATAGGAGGTTTTGGAGTAGACCTGCATATGTGTGTGTTTCCATGTGTATAACATATGGCAGGTTTGGGAGAACAGTATCATACATTAACAAGAACACTCTAGCTTATTCATCATCAAGATTAACACTGACAAGATGAGACTATTTAGATGTTGTATGTTGGAAAACAGGGTGGGGGTGGGGGGGAAGCCATTAGCTTCTAAAGGACTTGTAACTTTTCCCGGTGTGCTGTGTTTTGTCCTCAGCCCAAGCTGCAGCACGTCTACCTCAGGGATAAGCGAAGAAATCCCTGCTGAGATTACTGCCGTGAACGCAGGAGAACTCTGTAAGGCCTTCACGCATTAATAGAAAAATATATAACTGTTAAAAAATTGTTACGCACTATAACAAGTTTTTACATGTTGCAACTTGTCAGGCATTACAACGGGCAGCTTGGCCCCCCACGGTACATAAACAACTTGGTCCTGCACAGCGTGGTGGCATTTTTTCCTCATTTTTTTTCAGCGTACAGCAACTAAATATTTTAATCTTGTTAGTGTTATATTTAAAACGAATGATCTAGCGTGTTCTTACTGTTATGGTTTTGTACAACACTGCTCTCATAAGCCTCTGTTGTGTTATGCCGCCACTGCGTGTCACTATTAAGACAGAACAACAAAGAAAGATTTTTTGGGAGGTTTATAGAGTCCTGGTGGGGATAGACTCGGCACCACCCCCAAGGTGAGAGCCACCCTACTTCTCTCAGGATAGCCATACCAACGCCCCAGTGCCGCTGGTGCAGCGGGCAGAGAGGAGTGGGAGCAGGCAGGAGGGGAGGACTCCTTGCGGGAACGATCCTGAGCCACCGCCCAGCACAGACCGGCCACCCAGGCTTCACAGCACAGCGTGCGCTGATTCGGGCAAAATCGAGCAGGCAGCCTAGTTCAGGGCTGGCTACCTCATGCACACAAGATGTCCAAGTGCGCTTGTTCAAGAGCTGACACACGTTATTTTTAACCTAGCTTGGCTAACCCGGGACAAAGAAACCAACAGTGACAGCCCAGAATCACAATACAGGTTTTAAGAGAAAATTTAGCTGTGCAACCACAACCTGACAACAGCTAGGTTGAGATGCATCCTCTCAAGAATGTTTTCATCTTTAAAGGGGAAGTAACAGCCAGAATAATAGCAAAGTACGACTTGCTGCTCAACGAAAGAGGACCATCTCCTGAGTTCCCACCAGGTTGCAGCACGTAACCTATGTGTGTGCTACAGCAAATTATAAAGTTATTATTTCTTATTTCAAAGCCAAATCTTTGCAAAAGGTGAATGTAACAACAAAGGGAAAGGCTCATATGGATTGTGAAGCACATATACTTCCAGGCAGCAAAGCACCTCCCAAGTCCAACATTAGGAGCTCGTGTTGTCTTTGACCCGACAGGAGGAAGAAATACTTACACCCAGTAGAGCAGCATCAGCAGGAAAGGACAGATGATGACTGCCTGGAGGACCTGCCAGTCCCTGCAGAGGGCAGCCAGCCCTGGCATGAGGAACTGCCCCGACATTTCGATGAAGCTCGCCACCATGGTGATCATGAACCGGTGCCCAGGGGGACAGAGCTCTATCCCTGAAACACAGAGCACACGCGAATGCATTAGCCCCACAACAGCAAAGGCACCCACAGAGCATCTCTTTATGAAACTTCCAGGGAGTTAATGTCCTCCGAGATCTTGGGCCAAAGTTATGCACAGTCACATAAATCTTGTTTCCTCCTGTATTTAGGCTTCAAATACCCTAGCAGCAATGGAGAAGCCCATTAACAGCTGGCTGTGGTGCAAACGTTGCAACTTCCATACACCTATTGCACCTCCTGCAGACCTGCTGTACCCTCATTGTCAGCCTTCCTTCAGTCTCTGCCTAGAGAAGCATTTTACCAAATTCTAAGATATTTGGTTTTTTAAAGGGAATGTAGGGTAAAATACAATCCAAAGATTTTGGGTCGAGCCTTTTCACAGTTCTCAGAGATGCTGCATGCCTTTCCAATGAGTTTGCTGGGAGGCAAGAAGAAGAACGCAGCTCTCAGCAGGATACAGCCGCCCAGCTCATACGGGATGCCACCTGCCCACAGTTTAATATGCTACGACTCAGCCGGTTTCAAGCTGGATTTTGCTGAATGGGTTGTTTCTGCGTTTGCTTTTTGTTTTCGCAACAGCTAATCTTGATCAACTTTCAAACGAGCCAGCCTTCCATCTGTCTTATCCTGTCCTCCATCCTTCCTTTTGCTGTGGGGCAATTTACTACCACCACTGGTATCATCGGTTGTCTCAGCTGCCTTGTGACAAGTGTGCTCAGTAGATAAAAGCTTCCTTAAACCCTGGCTACCTTTTATTTAGTCCTCAGAAATGAAGATGAACTTATCAGAATCACAGCTTTAAAAAAAACCACAACAACAAAAAAAAATCACAGAAGAAATAGCAGAAAAATTGAACTGCCTTGTGGAAATATATTCAAACAAATTTTTTTGCCAGTAAGATTGCAACAGAAGCCCCTATTTCATATTTCCCATTTGCCAACATTCAGATTAATAATTAAGCACACTAAGCCTGCCACAAATGTTGTGTAGTACTTATCAGCACGCTGATACAGAAACATAGGCTCGTAAACATTCATGATACGTTGCTGTCAGCATTGTTGCTTTTCCTTGGGATGTTTCCTATGGTTGTTTTAAATTAGAATTTAACGGTTGTTAAAATTGTAATTGAAAAGCCATAAGACAATAGGAAGAGATGACAGCTGCTCCTTCATTCACTCTCTCATCTGTGGCTTGTTCAGCATTTATCACTGTAACACAGATTTAAACTAGCTGACCAGGAACTAGCTTGCAGATCAAACGTAGGATTAAACACCACACGCTGGTTTTTCCCCCCCTTTCTTTTCAGCCAATGACAAAAACTATGGATGGATTTTTGCCAATACAGAAGGAAAATGTATCTGTTGCGAGGCAGCCCAAATTTTCATTAGCTTAACCACAAACACAGCAGCTTTGGAAAAAGAAGGGGGGGGAAAACCCTCAAAGACTCTCACTTGCTATAAAAGCCTTTTACGTTTTAATTAGAAAAACAAGATTAAAACACAAAGCTCCTTATTACATTAATATGGTTTCATTCTTACTAATGAAGTATCCCAAGCCTAGGCGATTTTTTTTATTCTATGCAAAGAGGTCACTTCCGTTTTATTTCCCTAATCTTCAAATATAAAGTGGTTCTGTTTATTTTTCTAAACCTTAAAGTCCCAGTTACTCACACTCCAATATTCCTTCATTAAGTACAAGGACGAGTTTTGTTGCTATAGAAATGGGAAGTCTGCATTAGATAGGTAAGGCTTTGGCATTTCAATTGCACTGCTTAGGTTAGTATCAGATTAAAAAAAAAAAAAATAACCAAGAGGAGAGCAACTTTTATATGAAGTCAGAAAGAGGTGTCCAAATAATAAAATTATATTTTATTAAGTCACTGGTGCATAGTACGTAACTCCATATGCAGCAGTTATTCATTGTATAGAAAGGAAATAACTTCAGAGGTTGTTTAGCATCTATTTTCTTCTCTGGATTATCATGCGCATATGATCAATTTTTGCCCTTTCCTCTAAAAAAGCTGGAGAACACAAAAAAAAATAATCCCTGCTGTAGCTGGGTGAGCATGACTTTCAAGTGACATCAGCAGGTGCTCCGTGTATATGAAATATCACATCTCTGTTGAAATGTTCTGCATATTAGGACAGCCTACTGACTTTCCACCATCTCTCGCATCAATTTTATATGATAAAAGATTCAGCACCGCAGTTTTTAGCAAGCATTTAGCAGTCAACCTTTTCCCACCTCTGCCAGCAAAGCCACCCACCGCAGCACCTCTGCCCCAGCCCTAGGAAAGGCACCCTGCCCCCTGCTGATGCTCCCACTGGTGCCACGATGCACTCAGGCACAAGGCCTCTGTGGCCACAACAATTTCCACCCAGTTCACGTGATAAATTACCGTCTCGTGTGAAATCACTACAAGGCAGAGATCAGCTTTATCCACCTGTGGCAAATCCAGCAAGAAAGCTCCAGCTTCCCCTCTCAGGGAAAAGGTTGCCGCCTCAACTGCTTCGTGGAGCATGGAGAATCAAGTAAACCCTTGTCATACACACAAACCATGGAAATTACCATCAGTACCAAAAACTCCCGGATACATCTGTTTGCTCTACTTGGAAAATTTTGTGTAGGCAAGGAGACAGGCATGGAAAGCATTTTGCTTCCTTGCCTAGTATTTCTACTCTAGGCAGCTCAGTCAGAGCAGTAGATCCAACTCAAGTTGTCTAATTTCCACAAGTCCCAGGCAAACAATCGTACGGGCAAGTTGAAACCTGTATGCAAAGCAGTCCTTCAGTACTTGGGCAGTGAAATCGGACATGCCCAGGACACGTGGGACAGACTTTCCCACCATCGGTAGACGCCCAGTAACAGTGGACATCACAAGTGCAGAAATGGGACCCAGTCAATCCCTGTGGCAGAACTGCTCCACACACGCCGTAAGTACAACCCAGCCTGAAGGTAATCGCCTCACCACACGTGTGGTGCAGACCCGGGCCCCATAAGCAACACAGACACGAGACACATGCCTCTGGCTGGGAAATGCAGAAATAAAGTGTAGAAACCCTCCTTTCGGACCCTATCCTGTATGTCCTTCTACTACAGAAGTGACCAAATCAACGCTCACCAGCCTCCCAGCCCTCAAACCTGCCACAGAGAGAGACAGTGTGAACTATGCCCCTTCTTACACGGGATTCACGCATTTTTGGGAGTTGTTTGATGCGCTCAAAGAAACCCCACTACTAACATGCAGGATGCGCAGAGACACGTTCTGGCACGGAAGGAACAGCACTGGGGCCAGATACGTTACTCCATGAGTCTGCATGCAGCGATTTGTACCAGAAGTATTAAAACTGGTAATGAACAAAGGCAGAGTAAAAGTCTGTGTGCATGTATGAGTGTATGTGTGTGTGACAGCAAGCGAGCAGGCACCAGAAGGATAGGCAGGACACGGGTTAAAGAAATGGCACACGCCCATTGTGCCAATCGCACCCTACCCGTGATTTCATTCAAGTAACAAAAGCAGGAGGAACAACCTGACCTACAGATAAGATATCAAGAAGATGAAGAACAGGATTGGAGTCACAAAATATCAAGATTATGAGAAAAAAAGGACAGAAATTCATTAAGTTTGCCTAAGAATTATGAGGGATGAGAAAAAACAATAAAGCAAAAAATTGTAAACATCATCAACTCCTAAGGGGTATGAAAAGCAACCCCAAACGGGTTTGTTGTTGCCTGTCAAGAACAACCTCAGGGATGTGATGAGGACACAGCAGCCACTGCCTCTTGTCCTCTGTGTCACACAAGTGACCCTGGCCAGACCACGTGGACATACACCTTGGTACTTGTGAGTGCACGGGTGTGAGAGTGTGCATGAATTAAATCCGAAGAGAATGAGTGTGGTTGTGCAAAATCTGCCTACTTAGATCCTCGGGGGGGGGGGAGAACCCACAAAAAACCCCAACTTTGTCCTTCTATATAGTCTCTCACCGAGTTATTTAGAAATCCCATGGGAAATATTTTCAGATATTAACCAAGGGAATAAGAACCACAGCAGCTATATTGGCTGTTCCTAGTGACAAAGGCCAAGCTCAAGAAAAGGACTTTCAAACCATCTAAGAGGACAGATTTCAGAGCAGCTCCCCCACTACTTCATAATATTGTCCTTTTTCCTTACCCCTAGCATTGCAGCAATGGCCCTACTTGACCCCTAAGAGAGCCACATGCACCCCTAGGATGTGTTAAACTTTCTAGATACATGCTGAGGGAAAAGCCCCCGCTGAGGAGGGCTCTGTCCCTGACACTCCCCACATTTCCCTCTGGAGGCAGCCTTGGAGATGTCCTGGGCTGGCTTCCCTCGCTGGTGCACTCCCCCGGAGCAGGGACAGCTGTTGGGTTTCGGGGGAGTTGAGTTTCACGATGGATGCTAGCCTGAGAAAAGCTGCCTCTGATGCCGATGGACCTACAGGGCTTTGAGCTTGGTCAGACTTTCTGATGATCTAGCTTTAACAAGCAGGTTGTTGCGGTACACTCTTGCACCTTAGGTGAATAGAGAGTCCAACAGAGGTTTCAAACCTGCAGCATTTTCCAAACATGTCTAAAAAGCACAATAAGTAGTTTTTAGGACCAGGAAATCTACGGTCTGTAGGCAACATTGTCAGATGCAAGTCCTCATTTGATCCATGTTGCATGCTATGTGACAACAGTGGCAAGGTTAGAGTAAGATTTTCTTGACAGACCAAAACAAAGAAACAACTGAAAATGAGTTGTTCATCATTATTTCATAGAGGCCAGCCCATAGTACACCACCGGAGTCGGATCAGGTAAGATCTCCCAAGCAGGTTTTGGAATACTGAAATTACTTTTCTTTAAATGGGATCCATTTTTTCTCCCTCACTCCCCCTGCGTAGTCCTTTGGGACTCTCGTTAGAAAGAAGGGAAAGCCTGAACAAGCCTTCACAGGCAAAAGCAGGTCCATTCCACAGAGCACATGAAGT